AAAACTTCCACACAGTGTGCAGCGGCGGTCAAAAAGGCAAATAGGATGCTAGGAATTATTAAGAAAGGGATAGAAAATAAGACCCCGAATATCTTACTGCCCCTGTATAAAACTATGGTACACCCACATCTTGAATACTGTGTACAGATGCGGTCTCCTCACCTCAAAAAAGATATTTTGGCCTTGGAAAGTTTTCAGAAGAGGGCAACTAAAATGATTAGGGGTTCGGAACGGGTCCCATATGAGGAGAGGTTAAAGTGACTGGGACTTTTCAGTTTAGAAAACAGGAGACTGAGGGGGGGATATGCAGGGATGGCAGGAGATAAATCGCTTGATCACTGTCTTCGGTCCACCCTCTCTGGGGCACCTGGTGTTGGCCACTGTCAGTAGACAAGATACTGGGCTAGATGGACCTTTGCTCTGACCCAGTACAGCCGTTCTTATGTTCTTTGTTAAGCAAAATGATTTCCACACTGTCATTTAGCATGACAGCTCAAAATAAAATCTTCAGAGACCCACACATCCTCTTTTTTTGGCTGAAGGGCCATCCCCAAAACACTAATTTAGGGGCATCTTCTTACAATAGTATTGAAAAGAATTGTTTCATGCTGATAATTTCAAAAAATCTCTCTAACTACCATCCTGTCAACTTAATTTAGCAGGGAAGTTAAAACTGGTTCAGCTGTAGAAACCACATATACATTAGGAGTACCATCAGTGCTAATACTGGCAAGTGATCCACTGAGATTATTAACAGAGGCATAGCTTAATACAGACTACAAACTGGGCTTGAAAAACTAATCCATTTGTCCAATTCAGGGAAAGTTACGTTGTAGCTGGTGAGTGAAATGAATGAGGCCAGTGAACAAAGCCTTTGCGATTTCTACCTTCTTACCCCTAAGGCAAACATGTGAGTAGGGCTGCAAAAGAACTACTAATGCTTCTTTAAAAGGGAGAATGAATATGGAAGAACATTCAAGGAGCCTGCCCTGTTTGCTTAAGATGGGAATAGAAGAGCAGAACAGCTGGAACCAACAAATGGTTGAAAAGAGGAAATCAAGGGTGATGGCTATTTTAAATGGAAAGTAAGAGGGGGAATAAATGTGGAGAGAGGGGAGGGAAGAGACAAAGGGTCATGAGTTGGATGAGGGTGCATATATTAGATGTGAATGCAAGGGGAGATGTGCAAGAGAGGAGGAGATAAATTAGAAATGTCAGACAGAACAAAGTGTTTGGGGAGAGAATCAGGAATACAATAGAGAAAATTAAAAAGCACAAGATACAGAAAAGGAAAAACGAGGTAACACTATACACAAAATACTATGTAACCAATAGTAGAGGAGAGTGGAATAAAGCCAGAAAAATAGTAATAAAGCTTAAACAGAAATTTGATTTTGGCAAATGCATCTG